TCATCCTTACTATTGTGCTGTGCCACAGGAAAAGTTCTCCAGCTAGCTAAGCCATAAGATCCTTTTTCCTCCGCACCACCTTAAAGAGCCCTTTGAACAAAGATCAATTCCCACTAAATATGAGTGACTGTTTTCCTTGGGACTGAAAGGTCCAGGGCAGAAAGGAGGTAGGGAGCTACTGGGCACCTTGTGGAAGTCCACTGCCGTATTTCAGCTAATCACACGTACATCACTAAGAAAGGTAACATAGCACCAGTGAAACTATTCAGTACCTTTCACTGCATGGTGGCACATCCTGATCTCAGAAACATTAAAACGTAGAGCATAGGCATCTTGAAGCAATATGACAGAGCACAAGGTCCTTGGAAGGATGAATGTGTCCTCCCCATTTTTGCAGATTCAGAAACTGATGTTTGAGGAGATTAAATAATTTACCCTAGTATGCATGGCTGGTAAGTGGCAAGGATGAGGATTCAGCCCTTGGGTGTTTAATGGTAAAACCCAAGCCTGTTCCCAACCCTAATTCCTGTTTTCTCCCCTGAGGCCTTAAGGCCCTCTCCAGCTGACCTCCCTTCTAGTCTTCACAGTTAAAACCCATCCTCCATGCAGCTGTTGTGGAGCCAGGATGTGAATCTTAAACCATGTCATTCCCCTGCTTAAAAGCTACCTTTAGAGCAAGGTCTTAGCTCCTTATGGGAACCTTACCAGCCCTTCCCCATCTCTCTAGCCTCCTCTCTGTTGCTGCTCTGTAGCTTGCCCTCCACTCTGTAGCAGCACATTGAACTCTTTCTTGATTCCATGCCCTGTCCCCTCTGCCTGAAATGCTAACTCCTGCTGAACCTTTGGGACTCATTTCAGTTGCTGCTTCTCCAGGAAGCCCCCATGCTGAGTTTGGCTGCTTTCTGCCTGTTCAGGTGTCCTTCAGTGGATTAATCAGTGAGGTCTGTATGCTTATCTGTAGTTCTGTGAGCTTCCTGAGGGAGGGGCTGTGACTTATATATCTTTATTTTCTCAGTACTTAGCCTGATAATCAGGCACATAGTAGATATTCACAAATGTTGAATGAATAATAAACACAGTTGATGCTGCCAGTGGGTGTGGTCTGAAGGAACATAGACTGTACTTGGCACCTTTGCGACTGAGTCTGTCAACGCAGGCTGCGTTGTGCCAGGTGCTGTACATACGCACATTTTACGTCTCTCTTGACAGTACCAATATAATCCAATGTCTTATATACTTATGCATCTAAAAATTACTGTGGAGGACAAGTGGATTCTCCTCCCTGGTTGTCTCTTCAAGACCAGTGCTGAGTTAGCTAGAAGTCTTTTGGTTAAAATGATAATACCCAGCTCAAGCTGGCTTAAGCAAAATAAGTGAATGAATTGGCATTTGGGGTTATCTCTTATTACATGACAAGCTACCCCAAAGTGTATTGGCTTAAAGCCATAACCATGTTATTACTTGCTCATGATTCTGCAGTTTGTGCAGGGCTCAGCAGGGACAGCTCATCCCTGCTCTGCGTGGAGTCTACTGGGAGGACGAACAGCCTGGGGCTGGATAGAACCACTCCCCTTGGTAGAACTGTTCCGCTTGGCTCCTTGGGGCCCTGATTCTTGCTGTTGTCTGGGCTCTTCAGTCCTGTTCTTGTGGCCAGCTTGGGCTTTCTCACAGTATGGTGATTCAGGGTAGTTGGACTTCTTACATGACAAGTGGCTTTTTCTAGAGGGCAAAAGTGGGAGCTACTCAACCTTCTTTAGACTTAAACCTGGAACTGGAGCAGCATCGCTTCTGTCACATTCTGTTGGGTAAAACAGGTGTTCCCAGGGCCAACCCAGATGCAAGGAGAGGGAAGCACACAGGGCAGGAGTCCTGGCAGATGTGGTTTACTGGGGCCTTCCACAGTAGCAGTTTGCCACACAGGCTCACAGGACTGTGTCCAGGGAGAGGTTCAGCACAGGAGAGCCCAAGGGGCCTGCACAATCTTGCACGCTCCCTTTTCACTTTCGTGTTAGTTGCTTCCAGGCAGTGGTCATGCCCACCCTCACTGCCCTCCAGGTACACTCCCTCCCAACTTCACCTAGAGCAGCAGCACATCACAGTATTTAAGACCTTGGGCTCTGGAGCCAGATGCTAGGATTCCACCAGGCAGCTCTCTGTGTGCCTCAGTTTCTACCTCGTCTGTAAAATGAGGATTTCAGAACTGTCTACTTCAGATGGTTGTTTGTGACTTCGAGAATGCCCTGGACTGTGTTACCTGCAGGATTTAAGGGTCAGATGAGTTGCTCACGAGCATGTTGTGGGCTAGGGAAGAGAGGTTTTGGCCTTGGAAAGGCAAAGCTTCACAGTACCCAAGGGTCTCTATGGCCCACTTGGGAGGAACAGCTGGCCACCAGCACAAGGGCTGGTGCGCTTGAGCTTTCCTAGGGCCCTGAGGAGAGCTGCTGCTCCAGTGAGTTTACGGCTCCCCTGCTGCTAGATACATCCGCTCTTCTGCGTCTCACAGGGCTCTTAGTGGCTGAGGTGGCTTGTGGTAATAACTCATAGATGTCTTCTTGTGTTCAGCAGGACTCTGTGCCTCTGTTTCAGTACTAAAATGAAAACCAAACCGTTGCCCTCGAGTTGATTCTGACTTCCCACCCCTCATAGCCATTTGGAGCACTAGCATTTGCACAGCTCAGGCCTGCAGCCTGTTTTCCTTTTGGTTATTTCAGGGTTTCTTGTGAGGCACTTCACACAGCTACTTTAGCATGTGTGGGTACACCCGTGTACCCTCTCCTCCCAGCCTTTCAGCCTGTGGTAAAGTGTGGCATGTTCTCACTGGCAGCATGTAGGACCCTATGGCTTATCACATGTGGCAGCCATCTTGCCGATGAAAGACCCAGGGGTGCCCCCATGGGCCTGGGTGCAAAGACAGGAAACCACCAGTTTGAGCACTCCTGGGCCTCACATGTACTCTCAGCCCCTATCTTTTTTTACCCCACTGTGTATAGTTTGCTGGATTCTTTGGAAGATCAAGAGGTGACTTATCAGGGTCGCTGGCTATAAAAGAAGAGTTACTTGCAGGCTTTCTCACCTCACACTTTTGTGAGTGTGCTCAACTCTTGGGTCTGGTTCCTTAAAAGGTGTATAAGCATGCTGAGCTGAATTGGACTTGTCTTGTGAAGCCTTGGAATGAAAATTCTGAGCAGACAAGGGCTGTGTTTCGTATGTGTTTGGGACAGCTTTGAGCACACTGCATTTGCTTCAGAAAGGCAGTCAGCAGCTTCGTGGCCTACCTGTCATCCTAGAGCTCTGGCTTTTGGGTTTGGGCCTGTGGGTGACTGAGGGGCTCAGGGACCAGGCTGGAGCTGCCAGCATGGTGACAGGGGTCTGATAGCTATCACTCTGTTATGGTAGCTTTTGTGGCCTTGGAATTCAGTAAGTTTGAGAAATAACATAGTATGTAGTTTGATTTCCAGACTTTCCTAGGGTTTCTGCTCTTGTATTTGGCTGCTCATAGTTTTGCACAGCTGTTTTCCCCACTACCAGTGATGAGCAGTAAAAAGGAAACTTATTTCCCCTTATCCGGTGAAAGCTCGCGCACCATTTGATGGTAGGATGTGGCTTTCTGGAGTAAGGTGAGGTGAGCTGGGTGCTACCTTGGGCCCATGCTGGGCATTGCCTTTTGGGTAGCAACACTTGATTATACACACTTGCATGGAAGTCCTAGCAGGACTTTTCAGCTCTCAGGTGACTACCACCTGCCCCCTTTCCTACTCCTCCACTCTCTCGCCTGCACTTGCCATGAGATTCTAGAGCTGGTAACCCTCATCCCAGTGTCTATGCAGCCTCCTTTTGGGTGACAGAAATGGAGTGTCCCCTGTGAAGAGACTCCTTGGCAACAGCCCCTTGGCTGTATCAACAATTGCTGGTGCTCAGTTTTTATACATCTAATTTGTCACTCAGCTACTAAGCTACCACACACCAGGCACTGTGCTGGGAGCTGAGGATATGGTGATGAACTTGATAGTGATTGACATTCCATTTGTGGCTTTTGTATGCTTGGCCTGGAAGCAGACCAGGGAACCAAACAAATGCCCACCAGGCACAGGTTCCAGGATTGCCTTCCACAGCCTGCTGCATTTTGAGTTCTCACAAGGCTTTCGCTTATCTGGTCCATCCATCCAGCCATTGCTTTGTGGCCCCCTGTTGTGGACCTGGGAACATACTGGACCCTGTGAAGACTCCAAGAACTAGTAGCGTCAGCCCTTTCCCCTGGAAGAACAGAGAATCTAGTTGAGCATAGAATACATACTGTGAAGGAGGTTCAGCCAGAGGAGATGCCAAGAAGATGGACCCTCTGTGGACTTTGATACAGCACAAATGGATGGGAAGACTTTTTGGAAGGAGAGGCAAGATGAGGGCAATGATATCCCCATGTTGCAGCTGCCATTGTTCCTACTTGCTGTCAGCTAGCCAGTGAGAAAGGACAGAGTGTGCCCCCTAACCAGCTACTGGCCAAGTACAGATCCATGGGCAGAGGAGATGCCTAGAAGTGATAGCTGTGTGCTAGCTTTACTAAATCCCTGTGACTCAGCACTTTTATTGTGAACCAGTTCATAGTCTTTAGTGTCTTCTTCACAGATGTGTGTCCCCAGAAGATGGCAGCCTGTTGTCCACTAGACCTCTGTGTGAATGCCCAGGCATCCAGTGGGCTCAGTCATTGTAGTGATGGAATGCTTTATTCCACTTTTGGACTTTCAGCTCTTTAACATTGCTTAGAGAGTCTTCCCAACAGTTTATACTTTAACTAAAACTGTTAGATCACTCTGTCCTTAAACCAAAAACCCAACCAGTTACTGGTGTCCTTTGGTGGTTCAAATGGTTAATGCACTCGACTGCTAACCAAAAGGTTGGAGGTTCGAGTCCAGCCAAAGGTGCGTCGGAAGAAAGGTCTGGAGATGTGCTTCTGAAAGATCAGCCATTGAAGACCCTATGGAGCATAGTTCTACTCTGACACACGTGGGGCAGACTTGACAGCAACTGGTTTTTTTGTTTTTGTTTTCCCTAGGTGCAGTAATTGGAGTTGTTAGTTGAATAACAGTGTTATTAAATTTTTGACTCTGTTGCTGGTCTTCAATGAATAAAAGCCAATTTAGATTTTTTTTTCCTTTATTTTCAGGCAAGCCAATTTTTTCAGTTGACATTCACCCTGACGGGACCAAGTTTGCAACTGGAGGACAAGGTATGTTCATGGTTTAACAGAGGGAGTGTATCACAGCCCTGCTGCCTTGCTCTGCTTCTCCTGGGTTGTCTGTTTAGCTGTAGACAGAATACCTACTATTTCCTGGTATGGTTGTGACTCACGTAGTCATTAATTTTCTCGCCTCAAAAGAATTCAACTTGGTTGGAAAGAAAGTGCACTGTGGTCAAATAAAAATGTCCACGCCATGTGATGATATGATCCATAGTATTGTCAGTGTGCTTCATCTGGCATCTCCTGCAATATTGTAATAACATATCTCTGTTTGGAAAGGCAAAGTCATTTTTCAGGCCAGGACACCAGGATGTATATATGATGGCACAAAGTAGCAGTCATGGCAGAGCCCAGCCCCATTTGCTCTTCACCCCAAAGCAGGGTCTCCCTCTGGCTGAGGCTGCAATCTCTTTGGACAGTACCTGGAAAGTGCCTTTGTGAGTTCTGGGTCCTCAGGCCAGGTGCTGCAAGGTGGGTGGGCTGCAGATTCCTCTGCCCTGGAGGGCAGGGAGAAGGAAAGGAGGGCTCTGAATCCTTCCTATCTGCCATGGACTGCACCCGAGAGGAGCTCACACGTCTCGTGGAAGAACATCTGGACTAGCTGGGGGAGAACAGAGGGTTTTCTCCTTGTCCTCAGAAGGAGGCACACTTTACTGTCTTCTTCAAGTAGTAGGTCTAGGAGAGATGTTTAGGAAATATCTTAACCCTTACATACTGGCCAAGAGATGATTCCCAAGCATGCTTCATGGTCATTTTGGTGTGTCCATTTCCAGGCATATACTGGTTTTTGCCCCTCTGTAATAGAAGGTTAAATGAGGGACTAGACTTTTGTCAGTTATCAATAATGGAAAGTGCAAAAAGAGAACTCATTAGTAAAATGCATAGATAAGTAGTTTATCAAAGCAGTACATTCAGGTATAGCCACAGAAACCCAAAGTTCCCTCTTTCAGGTGACCTCTTGTTTGTAGGTGACTGCAGAGGACAGACAAGAAGATAATGAGCCCTGTTTCCAGGGCACATTTCAGACTTGGACCTCAAAGTTTTAGTCGGCTCTGGGGACAGCTGTGGATTCCAAGCAGAACCTTGAAGGGGAAGGAAACCCCAATAGGAACTGTGCTTTAGTTTCTAGGCTGCACATACACAGACCTGAAGGAGTCCTGGGGTATTGACTTTTCCAACCTCATTTTATAAACGAGGAGTCTGGATCCTGGGCAGGGATGAGGGCCTTCTCAGGGCCCATGGTGGTTCCATGTTAGAGGCCAGACTAGAGCTCAAGTACCTCCTCATTGCTAGTCCAGGATTCTTTGCATCAAGTCTGGTTGGCTTCAGCCTACTACTGATTTCCATACCCTCTTTGGTCCCCGTGAGTACTTGTTTTTCTTCATCTTTTCTGTAACTTACATTAGTCTTTCAGACTCAGTCTTTAGATCTAGTCAGTTCTGATTTATGAAAGCTAAGTGAGGACTTCTTGTTAATATTACTAATCAATACCAAATTTCTACCCTTTGCACATTGAGTTATTTTTGTTCTTCCCTTCCAGGGCAGGATTCTGGGAAGGTTGTGATCTGGAATATGTCTCCAGTCCTCCAGGAGGATGACGAGAAGGATGAAAATATTCCCAAGATGCTTTGCCAGATGGACAATCACTTAGGTATTACAGAGTGGCCCTTTGCAGGCTTTGCGTGTTGGCAGAGTGCCCAAGGTTAGCACATGTGTTTGTAATTAGAAAGATAAGGCCCCGTGCGGCGGTAACTCCCCTCGGCCTGCTGTCTGAAGGCACAGATGTTGGCTGCACACCTGGGTGAGTTATTCGGCAGAAGACTCGGCCCGCCCACAGAACCATCTTTGGACAGTCTGCAGGTACCTCTGGTGATTTCCTGCTCATGAGTCGTTACTGCCTGATTCCATGGGGCTTTGGGGCCAGCAACCTGGAAGCAGTAGGGTTCTGGGGAAGGGTTTGTAAGACAACAAAGTGTCTCAGACTGGGACTGTGTCACTCTGAGGCTCTCTGCCAGGACCCTTTTGGCCATCAGACAGTGTTATGGTTTCCTTTCCTGCCTTAGTGCTTTAGTTTCCCAGGCCTGAGCATCAGGGTGACTGTACCTGGCTCCGGTTTCCAACCCAGCTGCCTCCACTGAGAGTCTCCATTAACAAGGACTGGCCTTGGGACATCAGCCCCTTCCTTTGCTCTGTGTGTTATTATTTTCCCAACATGCTCGTCAGTGTCCTCTGCCCTGGAGCACAAGTTATTCCCAGGCCATGTGTTGGCTATAACTTTGATAGTGTCCATCATATATCAGGTCTTCCAGAGGCTGAGCTGTGAATGCTCCTGGAGCCCCGGACTTGGGGGGAGTTCTGCTGGATTTTAGCTTCTAAGTATAAAAATCAGTCTCCAGTGCTGGAAAGTTTGGAAAATCCAAATTTAAAAGCACTAGCCCTGACAGGTGAGATGAAGCAGGGTTTTATACTTTACTAAGCTGCACCCCTGAAGGTTCTGGAAAAGGCATCTTGGCCTGTTTTAACACATGCTCTCATTTCGAGAGTAATTCCTACTCAGTTGTACATCTCATCAATAGACAGCTCCTTTGAAATACTGTGATTTAGTTATCATTTATCTGTTTTCTTGGAAAGAAGCTCCTCCTATTGACTCTTTCATTCAGTACTAACATTCTCAGATTATGTATATTTTCCTCCTCCAGACTCTGTTCTGGTAATTTGTTATTACAGCACAACTAGGTTAGTGCTTAAACTGAATTATTTTTCTGGGTCTCTCACACAGTAGATGCCTTGAATAGATTAGATAGATTAGATTTTATACACCTTTTACATCTTGCCAAACTCTGCATAGAGCAAAGCGGGCATGACTATTGGATGTTCATCACCCTATTTTTTTTTCTTCCCAGCATGTGTGAACTGTGTGCGGTGGTCAAACAGTGGGATGTATTTAGCTTCTGGGGGAGATGACAAACTGATTATGGTGTGGAAGCGGGCTACGTAAGCATCATTTTCCTTTCTTCACATTTTATTTTTAGAAGCTTCTTTGCTGGTCTTATCAAAGTTCCCCCTCCCCATCCTGGCACTGAAGTCCCCAGAGCTCCAACTTCATAAATAGCAGGAAGTGCACGTAGATCAGGAGCAGATGGTGCCTGACTGGGAGTCAGGAGTCTACCAACCTGGTCAGCTGCCCTCGGTCTGGGCTGCAGGGTTTCCACCTGAAAATGAAGGGCTTATCCCTTCTAGTGCTAACATTGGTAGCTTCATTTGTTTTGTTCTTCAAATGAAATTTCACGTGGAACTCCAGCATACAAAATGGTTAAAAGCTGAGGTGCTCAGGTGGAATTGGGCTGGGGACCCAGAGCCCACCGACTTGGCCATTCAGCTCATTTCTCATCAGCCTAAACCTGGGGCTCCAAGGAGCTCCCCTTGAAAGCCCCAGCACTGCACCCAAAATGAGCTAGCCATCACCTGGAAAACCGTATTTTTCCTTAAACCTGGGAAGAGTCACTCAGGGTGGGCCCTGGGAATTTGTTCCATAGTAAGCTCCTCAGGTGACTCTGGGGACATCATGCTATGGCAGCAGACCCTACACGTTGCTCAGCCAGAGTAGCTCTATGGTCATGGCTTCAAAGGCAGAGGCGTGCCATTTCCTTTGGCCCACTTGGCTGCCTTACCAAGCTCTTTTTCTGTGGGGTTGTGAAAAGTTTTACACAGGGTGTTAACAGAGCCTCTGAGCATTGCCTTGGTGGTGTCAGCACTTCCTCCACTGGGGGTCCCTTGTGACCGCTCATGTGGAAGGAGTTAGGACTGGTGGCTCGCCTGTCTCTCAGCCTCCAGTTTTAAGCCTTTTACAAGGTGACTTAAAAAACACTTCTGGTTTTGCTACTTTAAATTGCCAATATAGATAACATGTTCAGTATATAAACTGAAAAAGTATAAAAGAAAAGAAAATCACTCACAATCTCACGACTTAAAGAAAGCCACGGTTAATGTTTTGATATTTTTTTGTTGTGCCTCCTTCTGATAGATTTTCCATGCATAGCTGACATCCATGTTATATGTATTTTCTTTACATAAATGATATATTGTACGTGATGTTCTGTGGCCTGCTTCTTTCACTTAATTATATATTGTGAACATTTTCTCATGCAGTGGATATTCTTTTACCATGAGATTTTTAATGGTTATGTAGTATTTCATCAGTACATGTATAATAGTTTACCTAATCGGTCCGTCTTGCTCAACAATTCGGTGGTTCCCAGCCATTGTTTGTTTTTGCTTTGTTCTTTTTGCCATGATAAGCCATGCTGCAGTGAGCATCTCTCCTGTGCCTGAAGCGTTCCATGAGTGCCTTTCTGACTCCTCTTTCACACAGGTACATTGGCCCCAGTACTGTGTTCGGCTCCAGTGGTAAGCTTTCCAATGTGGAGCAGTGGCGATGTGTCTCCATCCTCCGGAGTCACTCAGGTGGTGAGTGGAGCTGCCTGTTGAGCTTGGTGGGCCCCTGACAACTGATGCAGTTCAACAGCAGCACCTCCACGTCCCCTGTGTCTGGGCTGCCCTCCTCTATCACCTTCGGTCATGCCCTGCCTGTCCCCTCAAGGTCTGTGCAGTTTCCATTTCCATTGCTTGCCTCTAGCTGCACTCAGTGCCCCCTGCTTCTGCCTTCATGGGGTATATGTTTATATCTTTAATGGAGAACTTCCCATGTTCTGCTGTTTATCGTGATGAACTGAATCAGTACTTTCATCAGTGGATCACTAAGCTTATAAGCACACTTTATTTTTCACAGAAACCAGCATACCGGTGCCCAATGAAAAGTTTTTTACTTGACCTTGAGTATGTTTACAAAACGTTTTAAATAGACTTGGTATGGAGAGAGCCACATTTATTTATTTGGGCTGAAGAGGAAGATTGGTCTATAGCAGTCTCCTGCCACATGCCAAACGCTATTTTGGGTACCGGGGATACGAGGGTGTATATGGTTTAGACTTAGAAAGCATGTGTGCATAAGATGAGCATATGAAGCAAGGAGATTAAGTCTAGCGTTCGGAGGAATGTACTAAGGAGGAGGTCAAGGAAGGCTGCTTGTAGGAGGCAAGTGTGTGAGCCGAGTTAACTTAAAGAATTGTGGATAGGAGAGTTTTCCAGGCAGGGAGGGACAGCATGAGCAAAAAGCCTCAGAAGTGAGAAAAGGCTTGGTGTGAATGGTGAATTGGAAGCGTTTCAGCTTTGCTGGATCTTTATATACAAGGCAAGGAGCATCACAAAATGAGGTGGGTGAGGTCTGTAGGGACCAGGTGTGCAGGGACCAGGTATGCTCGTATCCCTGTTAATGAGTGTGTCCTTTATCATTGAAGACACACGGAGCCATTAGAAGCTGTGAAGCACAAGCAGGAGATCATTACAGCTGTGTGAAAAAGGAGATTGTTGCAGTAGTTCAGATTAAAGCTATAAGGGCCTGAGCTAGGCTTGTGATAATTGGGATAGAGAGAAGGAGATTGATTTGGGAAATACTTAGGACAGGGCAATGGGAGGAGTGATGACCTGTACGCTACTAGCTGGGTGTCTGAACGGTTAGTGGTGTCCTCTGCTGAGACCATAAGGACAACAGGAAACCACAGGCTTATGCGGACAGACACCAATTTAGTATGGGATGTGCTGAGTTTGAGGGCATGGGGGAATGTCAGGAGACCATTGCAGCTGAGCCTGGGGTTTTGGGGGAAGACAAGGCAGGAGTGAGAGGTTTGGGAGGCATTGGCCATAATCCGTTAATAGTGTATGCTCAGCAAATCCTATATAGACAGTTTAAAGGTGAAAAAACCCATCTCTTGGTGACCATAGATTGATTCCACATTTGTGAAGGGCAAAACAGTAGCATTCTGTTGTTGATGACAATAAAAATGTATTATCTGGCCTTATTTATTTCACAGCTGCTAACAGTGGAGACTAGCTGGGCTTCTCTGGAACTTGGTACCAAGTGTCTATGAGGGTGTTCACACATGGGGTGGGGCCTCAGGTAGAGAGTTTTACAGGGCCCCTAACCTGGGACTTGGGCTGAGCTGTAACCTCAGTTTCTCTCCTGCCCTACCACCCCATGGGTCTCCTTTACCAGGCAGGTAGAGTTGGCCGCCTTCAACAGGGGTACCTGCTACTCATGTTCACTAGTCCTGGTAGCAGATGTGGGTGGAACAGTGCAAGAAGAAAAATCAGTGAAAAAGCAGAAATAAATGAATGAGAAAGTACCCAGTCTTTGAAAAGCAGAATGTGAAAAACATATACTTGGCATGTTTAATCAGGGTAGGTAGAGGGGAGGAAAAAACGTAGACAAAATTAGAAGTAAGTAAAGGTCTAGAAGACCATTTAACCCAGAGGGAAAAAATTATCAAAGAGTGCCGTGTAGCATTTGTACTATTAAAATAAAAAATAATTTTAAGAGATACTACAAAGAAATAGACAATTTTTTAGAAAATGTAAGTTTTCAGTATTGACACCATAGGGTTAGGAAAACCTGAACAGAATAATAACCAATGCAGAAGTCGAAGGCTACCTTTGGAAATGGTTCCTGATCCTAAATTATTTACTGGTGTATTCTTTCAAGCTTTTAAGAGTAATCATTCCAGATAATAGAAGTATTTATTCTTAAAGAAAGTTATAATGTTGGTGTCTTGGTCATCTAGTGCTGCTCTAACAGAAATACCACAAGTGGATGGTTTAGCAAAGAGAAGTTTATTCTCTCACACTCCAGTAGGCTCCAAGTCCAAATTCAGGACGTCAGCTCCAGGAGAACGCTTACTTCATTAGCTCTGGAGGAAGGTCGGTGTCATCAGTCTTCCTTTGGTCTGGGAGCTTCTCTGGGCAGGAACCTCAGGTCCAAAGGATGTGCTCTGCTCCTGGCACTGCTTTCTTGATGGTATGAGGTTCCCATGTGTCTCTGCTTGCTTCTCTCTTTTATATCTCAGAAGAGATTGGATTAAGACACTATCTAATCTTGTAGACTTCATCAGTATAACATCATCATAGTGACAGAGTTTACAACATATAAGGAGATCACATATAACCTCATCATAGTGATAGAGTTTACAACACATAAGAAAATCACATCAGATTACACAGTCATACAATACTTGGAATCATGACCCAGCCAAGTTGACACATATTTTTGGGAGACACAATTCAGTCCATGACACTTGGGTTTCCAAAATCTAATAAAAAGAACAATGAAACAAAAGTATAGCCTAATACGAATAAAGAGAGAAAAATCAGAAACAAAGTACTAGTAAATTTGAAGATAGTTGAAAGCAATGGAAGAATTGTGTAGTACAAGGGAATCTATTTGTATAATTTAACATGCTAGGAAGTTAAATAAGAAAAGGCACAAAATTATCTTAGGACATGTACTAAAAGGAATTTTGCATAATTCAGCATTAATTCCTAATAAAAATACTATTAAAAGGACACTAGAAAGATGTTTCCTTAACATAATAGTGCTGTCTTTTTCAAACCAATGGCAAATATTACAATTCACGGTTAAGTTTGTTCCCATTTAGCTCAAGAAAAGACAGGGATGGGTGCTATCAAAATTAATTTGTTGCTTTGGGATTTCTGCAATACAGTTGAACAGAAATAAGAAAAATAAATTTCCATATTGGAAAATGAAATCCTCAAGCAGTTTGCATTCATGTAGAAGGAGACAGACAATAAAGTAGTCATGTAAGAAATTAGAAGATAAGTGCTAAGGAGCAAAATAAAGAGGCAGAGTGCCTTTTTGACCAGGATTTTCAGGGAGGGCCTCGATTAGAAGGGAACATTTGAATGGAGCTCAGAGGCATAAGGGGACAACCATGCAGACGTGGGAGAGCCTTCCAGGCAGAGGGAACAGCCAGGGCAACGTCTTTGGAGTGTGGACATGTTCTTGTTGTGTTCAGAGAATGATCAAGGGGCTAGGGCTGAGGGGGTGAAGGGGGGAGGGGAGCAGTGAGGTGGGAGCAATGGGCTTTGTAGACCTTTGTGAAGGGCACTTTCTCTGAGTGCAATGAGAAGCCTCAGTAGGACTTTGAGCAGAGGAGTGATGAGACCTCTGGCAGCTATGTGGAGACTATATTGTGGAGGATCAAGGGCAGCATTTAGAGGCTAGTGAGGAGGCTATTGCCGTAATCTAGGTGAGAGACCATAGTGGTTGGGACCTGGGTGATGATAGTGAATGTGGTGAGAAGTGGTCGTGATACAGCATTATCTTAAAGATTATAGCCAATTAGATTTCCTGGTGGATTGGATATGGGGTGTGACGTAAGCAGAGGAATCAAGGAATGCTTCAAGGATTGTGGCCTGAACAATGGAACGGATGCAGTTGTTATCACCTGGGATGGGGCAGGTTTGGGGGAAATTTTTTTATTTTTATTTATTGTACTTCAGGTGAAGGCTTACAGAACAAATAGTTTCTCATGAACAGTAGTACACATATTGTTTTATGACATTGGTTAACAACCCCACAACATGTCAACCCTCCACTCAACATTTTTTTTTTTGGTGAAAATACACATAGCCAAAGAGACACCATTTCAAAAATTTCTACATGCACGGTTCAGTGACATTGACTACACTCTTCCAGTTGTGCTGCTATTCTCGCTTAAGATGGCTTACAGAACAAAATAGTTTCTCATTTAACAGTTACTACACATGTTGCCCTATGACAATGGTTAACAATCT